CAAAATTGCACCAGATTGGGCCTGACAACTGTCAGACTGAACTCCCAAACATCATGTAATTGGATACATGATTCAAGTTATAGTCACATAAATCTGTTGTTTATACATGTATAATTTTGGTCAATTAACCCACAGGGCACAGACATCAATTCAACGTAATTTAATTGAAATGACGTGGAAACAACATTGATTCAACCAGTGTGTGTAACCTGGGAAGTTAGTCAGTGCATCATCATTTGTTCCCTCTGGGGTGTGCCATCCACAACTAAAGTGACTGAAGTGAATGTTATTCAAATTACACAGAGAAAGTAAGTAGACTTACCACAATCGTGTCAAGCTCTTCGAGGCATTCATGAGAATGCAGTGAGTCTTCTGTCAAGTGACACATCTTTGTGTCAAAAGTCCATTAAAATGTGGGAAAACTGAGTAAAAAAGTAAATAAATTGAGGACAGATGTTGTGGGGATGTGACTCGGCCTGTGCTTGAAATCCAATTACTGACTACTGTGGTAGGCCCTGTGTAGCTCATTAGATTCCCACGGGGGGCCAGTATGAAAAAATGTATGCACTCACTAACTGTAAGTCACACCTGGATAAGAGCGTCTGCTAAATGACTAAAATGTTAATGTATTCTGGTTACCTAAAATGGGGAAGGTGCCACGCAAAATATTCCCTCTATCCTCTTTATGGGCTTCAGTCTTAGACTATATCAGTCATATTTTGAGGTTAAAAGGACAGTCGAAGAGTAGGTTGAACAGTTTGATGAACCTAGGGACATCACAGTCAATACATTTTGCATTACACAGAAATAATGTATAGTAGATATTTATCCTTTTGATTTTGAGTGGACATTGGAAGGCCCTTGGGATAATGGCAAATGTCAAATTTAGTAACCACATACCTCAATTTATATACTGAGGTTAAAAGTGGATTACATTTTATATTTCACTTTCAATGGAAATGACTGATCGAAACTAATTGTAATGACGCAACTGATGGAAATGATGGAGGTGGAGATTGAGGTGTATATAAATGGCAAAAAATTGGATAGGGCCCAGAACACATACACACCTTTGCAAAGTACGCCAGAATCCCTAAGACAACTTATCTGCTGACTTGTGCTCAGATCTCTCATTGTGCAAAGAGGATATCCTTCGCTCTCTGCTGCTGGGAAAATTGTCTATGGAGTCCATTCACGAGGGTTGTGTTTAGAAGGGCACAGCTTGGCAAATGTTTTGCAACAGAAAACAAAAATATTTGTTCTTATTTGACAAGTTCAGTAAGTAGACTTTTTGGAAAACATTTTCTGTCAACTGAACATGACCCTGATTTCACAGGACAGTTGGTTCTTGTACAATAATATGGTAAACAGCCAATATGGCTGCACTGAGTTGTGTAACAGATAGGCATGCTCTTACTGTCATGTCGCCGGTCTACTAACCACCAGTCTGGCAACCATCATTACACACACCTGGACCTCATCATCACCTTGATTACTCTCCCTTTATTTAGCCCTCAGTAATCAGGCAGTGTTGGTTTTGTCACGCTTCTCCTGTTTTGTTTATCTGCATTTTTCTTATGATTAAACTCACCTTCTGCACCTGACTACCAGCATATACGTTACACTTATAGTTCTCTGCCCGCTTTTGTATATAAACTAGATCACGCATTCTATTGTACTAGGTACTGATTCATAGATGTTCTGTGTTTTTTTGTTTGATCATGTGACATGCAATTATCCTTTAAATAGAAGCCAGGTGTGCGTGATGACGATTTACACTGATGACGGCCTGAGACCGGAAACTTTGTGTTTTGTTTTTTCCATTTTTATGATTTTTTTGGGCACCATGATGTTTTAATAAAAATATTTATTTTGCATTCAAGCCTCAGTTTTGGATTTATCATTTTTTTTGACAATTTGCGGGTCTCCATTTCTTCCAGTATTCTTATTTTGACTCCTACACACCTGGAACAGACACTATTAGGTAGTAAGGACCTTAAAAGAGCGCAGACAGCCTTCTATCTTTTATGCTCTTACAGTATAACATACTTTATACTTACAGCTTAACCGGTGTTCCCAATGTTGTCCAAATGTTACCAATTTGAGGACTCTTCTGTGTTTACATGTTGAGGATCAGCTGGTATAACATCTGCAAGAAAAGTAATGGTATGTTCACCAGCTGTGTTTAGAGGTTCCTCAAACCTTCCAGGTTTCGTGTAAACCTCATTTTACAGGCTTCTTATTTAATTGGTCAGTTTGGGTTACATGTGGGTGTAATCAAATAATGGTTAAGTACCTGAGAAGGTCTTCTGAGTCACCAATGGAATCAAATATAGTTGCCTACACAAGTGTGTTTTTTTCAATAGGAAAGTATGTTGGGCATACTTAAGGAATGATTTGTTAATTCTCCCATGCCAAAGGAAGGAGCAAATAATTGTTTCCATTTACAGGGGAGATGTACATCAGCACTTTGTTAAATATATACAGCAACAGGTTGTTTAAAAAACGCCAATAAGATCACTTAGCACAGTCATACTGTTGGAACTTCAAATGGTCAGGCATTACCATGGTATTTGTATTGTTTTAAAATGGTCATACCATGGGTCATATTAGTTTGTAGCCCAAACGGTTCGGATGCTACAGACAGAAGTTAGCGAGCAAAACCGAGAAACACCATCGTGTTCGTGAGAGTCATCTTTCCATAGAGTGGTCATATTATTTGCCAAACCGTCGGGACTCTACATGTGTTTTTGTGACAAGACCGATTTTTGGGACATCTCATGGTTTGACAAACAACGCTGTAGCTCAGCCACCTTCCATCGCAGATGCGAAAGGCCAACATAGGCGGATGTGGTGGATTGAGATGCAGATATCTCTAAATTAAACTGACGAATTTTGATTAGGATTTTTTAAAATATGTTACTGAGATTAACACACGGGGGCGTCAATAGACTCTTAATGATTTTTTAACTGTTGCCTTTGAAATAGAAGACTCACCTTGCACAAATAGACAATGCAATGACAGCTTGTTTTTATGCATTGCATAACACGTGTGATGGGTGATTTCGAAAGGAGTCAGGCGCAGGAGGGTAAATCACAGAATAACAGGATTTATTCCGAAACACAGAGTTACGCAGTAATGCATCAAAACACTCCAGTGCGCAAAACAGGCGCACTGGAAACAACAAGGCACACGGGGAAATATCACGGCGATACAAAATACTAGCCGCTCCACCGAGCTTCTCTAACCTCACAATAAACAATCACACACAAAGACAAGGGGACAGAGGGAACACTTATACAGGTACTGATGAGTGGATATGAACCAGGTGTGTGTAATAAACAAGACAAAACAAATGGAATGATGAGATGAGGAGTGGCAGCGGCTAGAAGGCAGTGACGACGAACGCAGAAGCCTGCCCAAACAAGGAGAGGAGGCAGCTTCAGAGGGAGTCGTGACAACACGTCAATAGAAATTCTCCCAAAACACCAATTAAAATCAAGATCTCTGGGAAATTGTCAGAGCTGATTTACAATGAACAGACCACTTAAGAAGAGGGTATGCCACTGGTAACCCACAAGCTAGTCAGTGTGTAACAACCCATGAGTTTTGCAAAGGAAGAAAACCCAGTGGCCTGTAGCCTGGGCAACATCAGTTGCATCACCCAGATGGACCAGAGAGCTGTGAAGCACTTCCTGTCAAGGTTCAGGCTGAGGAAGACATCCACAGGGTACTTTCATATGGTCATTGGCTATAAGATTGAATTGAACATACATTGACATCTTCAAAGGTAGAAGTTTTGCATATGGGTGAAGACATTTTTTCTAATTAATGTCTTACAGGTTTGGTGAGTAACTGATTACATGTAATCCAATTACAAAAACAAACTGTAATCAGTTATGTTACCAGCTAAAATATTGTAAACTTCTTGGATTACTTTTAAATTCAGAAAGGATGTTTGTGAAAAAATACATTATGACACCTTTCCCTTTTCTCAATGACATTCAATTCAGCACTGAAAAACGGTGCAAGTTTAAGTTTGTTCCACCTGAGCAAGTCTGACCACAAGTCAGATACCATTATTATGATGCACCAAATGTGTTTGATGGATCCATTTGGTCTTCTTCTAATACTTCTTTAGGGGATTGTAATCCAAAAGTAATCAGATTATGTTACTGAGTTTGGGTAATCCAAAGGTTACATTACTGATTACAGTTTTGGACAGGTAACTAGCAACTGTAACAGATTACATTTAGAAAGTAACCTACCCAACCCTGTATGTAGGCTAATAGCAAATACGCATGGTGAGAGGTTCAGGAAGCTAGTTAATATATTCTTTGAAATGTCCTTCCCCAAGGGTTCCTAGTATCTTATAATGACTTTTCCCTCCTATGAATAGACTAACGAGAACATTAACCAGTATTTCCTATCAGTGCAATTCATGGATGATGCCATGAATAGCCTTTACATTTCTATTGAGGAAGCTAGTTAATATATTCTTTGATATGTCCTTCCCCAAGAGTTCCTAGTATCTTATAGTGACATTTCCTCCTATGAATAGACTAACGAGAACAAGAACCAGTATTTCCTATCAGTGCAATTAATGCATGATTCCATGAATAACCTTTACAATTATATCGAGGAATTTGTAACGCTTCAGCTTGGTTAAAATTGGTTACTCATTCCCACGTCAACAGGTTTAACTGTAAATAGGCTATGTTAAAATCAACCGCGATGACGCTCAATGTGCTTGTATAGGCGCGCGCTTAAATAGGCGGACTTGTTTCTGGACCAAAGAAAGAAAGCATCCATTTCAATCCAAGGAGAGGCGCATTACCCTACACAATGATGGTATGTGGAAACATATGCTTAGCCTGTATGAAAACTGTGTTTTTAGTTCATTGCAATTAACTGAATATGAATTATGAATTTGTGAACCGAATGCTGTACAAGCAAATTGAATGACAACCTGTCTGTTCTATCTCTACAGCTCTTTTTTATGGTGATGCTAGTCAGTGCTGATGCCAGTATGCCACTTCACGCCCAAACTTTCAAAAAAGATGATCCTTACTCTGGTCGATCGTTAGTGTGTGACCGCTGTCCACCTGGAATGTACCTCCGCGCGCCGTGCAGTGCCACGCAAAAGAGCGACTGTGTGAAATGTCCCAATGGGGCATACACAGAATTTTGGAACCACATCTCCAAGTGCCTGCGCTGCAGCATGTGCGCGGAGAACCAGGTCGTCAAGCAGGAGTGTTCTCCATCCAACAACTGCGAGTGCGAGTGCAAGGAGGATTACTACTTCAACAAGAAATACGAAGCATGCATCAAACATAAAGAATGTCCCCCCGGGTATGGAGCGAATATTACAGGTATGGCTAAAATAGAGCCAGTTTTACGTACAGAAAATATTATTTCCACTTAATCTATTATGATTAAAACACTTTCTTATCATCATAGTTTACAGTCTATAGTTCCATATGCATACGGTTGAAGTCGGAAGTTTACATACACCTTAGCCAAGTACATTTAAACTGCGTTTTTCACAATTCCTGACATTTAATCCTAGTAAAAATTCCCTTTCTTAGTTCAGTTAGGATCACCACTTTATTTTAAGAATGTGAAATGTCAGAATAATAGTTGAGAGAATGATTTATTTCAGCTTTTATTTCTTTCATCACATTCCCAGTGGGTCAGAAGTTTACATACACTCAATTAATATTTGGTAGCATTGCCTTTAAATTGTTTAACTTGGGTCAAACGTTTTGGGTAGCCTTCCACAAGCTTCCCACAATAAGTTGGGTGAATTTTGACCCATTCCTCCTTACAGAGCTGGTGTAACTGAGTCAGGTTTGTAGGCCTCCTTGCTCGCACACGCTTTTTCAGTTCTGCCCACACATTTTCTATAGAATTGAGGTCAGGGCTTTGTGATGGCCACGCCAATACCTTGACTTTGTTGTCCTTAAGCCATTTTGCCACAACTTTGGAAGTATGCTTGGGGTCATTGTCCATTTGGAAGACCCATTTGCGACCAAGCTTTAACTTCCTGACTGATGTCTTGAGATGTTGCTTCAATTATATCCACATAGTTTTCCTTCCTCATGATGCCATCTATTTTGTGAAGTGCACCAGTCCCTCCTGCAGCAAAGCACCCCCACAGCATGATGTTGCCACCCCTGTGCTTCACGGTTGGGATGGTGTTCTTCGGCTTGCAAGCATCCCCCTTTTTCCTCCAAACATAACGATGGTCATTATGGCCAAACAGTTATATTTTTGTTTAATCAGACAAGAGGACATTTCTCCAACAAGTACGATCTTTGTCCCCATGTGCAGTTGCAAACCGTAGTCTGGCATTTTTATGGCGGTTTTGGAGCAGTGGCTTCTTCCTTGCTGAGGGGCCTTTGAGGTTATGTCGATATAGGACTCGTTTTACTGTGGATATAGATACTTTTGTACCTGTTTCCTCCAGCATCTTCATAAGGTCCTTTGTTGTTGTTCTGGGATTGATTTGCACGTTTCGCACCAAAGTACGTTCATCTCTAGGAGACAGAACGCGTCTCCTTCCTGAGCGGTATGACGGCTGTGTGGTCCCATGGTGTTTATACTTGTGTACTATTGTTGTACAGCTGAATGTGGTACCTTCAGGTGTTTGGAAATTGCTCCCAAGGATGAACCAGACTTGTGGAGGTCTACAATTTTATTTCTGAGGTCTTGGCTGATTTCTTTTGATTTTCCCATGATGTCAAGCATAGAGGCACTGAGTTTGAAGATGGCCTTGAAATATATCAACAGGTACACCTCCAATTGACTCAAATGATGTCAATTAGCCTATCAGAAGCTTCTAAAGCCATTACATAATTTTCTGGAATTTTCCTTGCTGTTTAAATGCACAGTAAACTTCTGATCCACTGGAATTGTGATACAGTGAATTGTAAGTGAAATAATCTGTCTGTAAACAATTGTTGGAAAAATTACTTGTGTCATGCACAAAGTAGATGTCCTAACCGACTTGCCAAAACTATAGTTTGTTAACAAGAAATTTGTGGAGTGGTTGAAAAGCGAGTTTTAATGACTCCAACCTAAGTGTATGTAAACTTCCGACTTCAACTGTACGTTGCATGTTCAGATGTCTCAGTCTCTCCTGATTGTGTTTGTCTTGGTTTGGATTGTAAAAAAGAAAAAATGACATTTGGCATCAATAACAAATCCGCGAATTAAGGCGAATTAAAGGGATACTTCAATTATTTTAGATATGTAGATGTGTTTCATTACCATGAAAGCAGTCTATGGACATGTAGTGAATGCAATACACACTTTGGTTTTGTTAAACTAGCCACTGCAAACATGTAAATCAATCCTCCCGTTTAGCATGTATCAAATGTCATACCCAAATCAAATCTTAAATTGATTGTGGTCCTCAATTAATTGGTTAAAACTATTTTGAGATAAATAATGTGGCACACATTTCAAAATATTTCCTCAGGTACACCACAACAAGATACAGAATGTGTGCAGTGTCAGCCCGGATTCTATTCTGAAGTTTCCTCCGCAAAAGCGACCTGTGTTGCGCAATCAAACTGCCAAGCTGGTGGACTGCGCGTGGTGCTGAAAGGCCAGAGCTGGCACGATACACTGTGCGCCTCATGCGATGACCTCAAAACTCGTGGTAAAACACATTTTGAATAACAATGTTTATAATGAACTAATAATTTGTGGCCTCAACTGAGTTTAAGTTTCCCAACCATATTTTTTATTTTCAGATGGAGCTGAATATCTGCATGAAATCCTTCCTACGTTCTTCATTCAACTTCACCAGACGATGGGTATCACAAAAATGCGTCGGTTAGCAATGAGGCTGCCACAAGAAGGAGGCAAGAAACCGCTCCGAGGAACGGTCATGAAGCTTTCTAGAAGGGGTCTTAACAACTTTATGAACAGTTGGGACCAAGGTGCAGGGAAAGATCAGGTTAGAAAACTTCCTGAGGTGTTGAGGAACATAGGGGCCTTCAATATGGGAGACAAACTAGAGCGTAAACTGAAATATATCGACCAGCAATCCAAACTCTGCGAAGGGTTAGTTGAAGTAGCCCAAAATGAGTTAAAGTAGCCTGTCATCCCCATCTTCTGAATAACATATCTTGAGCATTACAACAAAAAGTAATTCAGTTCAACAGGTGTCCATTTTAAATGGTCCATATAGGGTATGTGGGCTATACAGTCTAGACCAGGGTTCCCCAATATTGGCCTGCGGGCCAAATTCGGCCCGTTGGTATTTTATTTGGCCACAAGTTTTCTGAGCAAAAGTAAAAATGTACAGTATATACAGTATATATGTTTTTTTATAGGCCTATATCATTTTCTTTGTTGGACATAAAAGACTGTAAAATCACCAGGAAATCAGCTCAAAGTTATTTTAATTCAGGAAATCTGTTCCCAAGTATTCCTACACATAAATAGAGGCATATGTGATTGTATCCCAATGTAGTCAAGGTTTGAAATTATTCTGTTTTTGTCAAATACTATATCTGCTTGGGATTCTTGCGGTCAATTTGCAGTGTACAAATTATTTATAACTATTCAAAAAACATTCCTTACCCCAGGATACTTTGAATGGTGACTATCCGGCAGAATAAAGAAAAAGCAGCACTCCGTTTCTGCGTAAATCTGATAGATTTATTGATGGGACAAACCAGCTTTCTCTTTTAAGCTGGCTGAAGCGAGTTTGGGTATACCTTTTTTTCTCCATTATTTATAACTATGTTCCAGCCCCCCCCCAACCATCAGCTCAAGGAAAAATCGGCCCAAGGCTGAATGTAACTGGGGACCCCTGGTCTAGACCTATTGTCTCATTGATTGTTTTACTTAAAAAACCCTCCCGTTGTCCTAGGGTCAAAATGACCCGCCACTGTGTTGAACCAACTTACTTTAATTTTTATATTTTTTGGATCATTTGTGAGAAGGAGGCAGTGATACTTTCTTTAAAGTCTCACTGCCTCCTTCTCACAACTGATCCCAAAAATATAAAAATTAAAGAAAGTTGGTTCAACACAGTGGCGGGTCATTTTGACCCTAGGACAACGGGAGGGTTAAATGTATAATGTTCCTACCCCTGTTGCTGTCAATGGTTACACCTTCAAACACACACACACACACACACACACACACATACACACACACACATAATAGTAATAGTCTCCCGAGTGGCGCAGTGGTCTAAGGCACTGCATCGCAGTGCTAGCTGTGCCACGAGAGATCCTGGTTCGAATCCAGGCTCTGTCGTAGCCGGCCGCGACCGGGAGACCCATGGGACGGCGCACAATTGGCCCAGGGTAGGGGAGGGAATGGCTGGCAGGGATGTAGCTCAGTTGGTAGAGCATGGCGTTTGCAACGCCAGGGTTGTGGGTTCGTTTCCCACGGGGGTATGAAAAAAAATAAAATAAATGTATGGACTCACTAACTGTAAGTCGCTCTGGATAAGAGCGTCTGCTAAATAACGTAAATGTAATAATGTTGCTGTTATGTAAACAGGTTTAGTACATGTTTTGTGATATTGTTGCATTTTAAGAAATATATTTGTTTGATTTAAGGCACACTTTTTGAATACGGAAAATTCCATTTTTGCAGAATGAAAATGTGTATTTAACTTCTAATATGTTATATTTTCTAATATAGTATAAGATGCAATCCGTAAAACTGTCCTGAAATGCTTTTTGCAGTAATGGTTCTTCCTGCTTAAACATAATTTTCATGTAATTGTTCATGTGAGACACAAGGACTTGAGGCTACTCTTACATAAATGTCTCTCTACACTTCAAAGTAGCATTTTGTTTTCATTTGTGAAAAGTTGTGTATTTTATATTTTGCTTTAAACTTTACATGCCACCTATGTTTGCAGTAATCTCGGCACCCATAACCAAATAGACTATCTTTCGTGTACATGGTATATATATACCATACAGTACAAGTTTCTGATCTGCTAAAGCCATTTTTCTCTGAGTCTTACCCTTGGAATGTGTAGTCAGTTCAGTAGTCAATTAAAACAATTCAACATACACACTTGACTTCCTTGCCCTGCATCGTGAAGAGTTTAAATTATTATTTCAGCTGAAAGTTTTCAATTTAATAACTTGACTCAAATAACATAACACACTCTCAATTTACACAAATAATCCGCAATCAAATAATCCAGTCAATAGCCCAACCTGTTAATACTATTTTATACAAACTCATCACCCCCTTTGTGTGATCTAGATTATCACTTACTCTTAGGCTACAGACAATAAACTGAGATCTAGACCTAAAGACGTTTGCTTCTGAATGTTTTAAAGAACTGCTCCTCTATGTTCTCCCCAGTGTACAGTCATCACCTAGCAAATAAACATTCAACACAGTGTTGTAGTATTTGCTTAGTTATCACATGCTCATCAGTACCTTTACGATTTATCAGGCTTCATCACAAACCCTTTTTGTGTGATATACCGTATTTTCACTTCCTAATGCACAGTCATGGCCATTATCATCAATGACCGTGCACAATGTTATCCACATTACACAGCCTTTTTGTCTGGTTATCTCAGTGAAACTGACTGAAACTGATGGAGGACATACTTTTCTATTGAGCGATTAGGGAGTGTGTATTAGGCAAGCAGTGTATCACACCAGCCTTGTTTTTTAAGGCCGATGGCCTGCAGATGCTTTCTCATTATGTAAACACAGCAAAACACTGAAGGCTTTTATGGGTAGAAGGAAAAAGGAAATAGTAGCTGAAGGGGAATTTGATGAACAGCATAGTAGTATTTAGCTGGCTGTGGGAAAGTACAGGAAAACTGAATTATCCCCTACTGGGGCCGGGTGATAAAAGTCTGTTCTCTGCTCCCAGGCATCATTCACTGCCATTGTGCCCGTGAGCAAGGCACTTAATAACCCAGCCACACTGATTTGCAACTGACGCTGTGCTACTCCCTTCCTTGTGTGTGTGTGTGTGTGTGTGTGTTTGAGGTTGGGTATTGTGACAGTGAATCAAGAAATTTCAGTTGGAAAAAATTGAAAATGTATTTTATTTATAATTTTTTACAATGACAACAACAGCATAGTGACTACAAACATCCAAACATGACAATAAACAATAGAAGGGGAGAGGGGTACCGTTGATAAATAAATACAGACAATTGATATATTAGGCTATGCTCTATGTTTAACATAAGTTCTTATAACGTCCCAAATACCACCTAGGCCATTGTCATAGTTCTGGAGGGCCGAAGCCACTCGTTCCATAGTCAATATGTCCATGAACTTAGTGTATGTAAACGTCTGACCCACTGAAATTGTGATACAGTGAATTATAAGTGAAATAATAAACAATTGTTTGTAAACAATTGCTGGAAAAATTACTTGTGTCATGCACAAAGTAGATGTCCTAACCGACTTGCCAAAACTATAGTTTGTTAACAAGAAATGTGTAAAGTGGTTGAAAAACGAGTTTTAATGTGTGTAAAGTTCCGTCTTCAACTGTATATAAAAAATTCCAGACAACATATGATCTACCTCAGTCCAAAATCTTTTGACAGCTGGACATTTCCAGAACAGATGTACTACCAACATCACCACGCTTCTTTGAAGATAGTGGGTAGAACAAGTATTTGATACACTGCCGATTTTGCAGGTTTTCCTACTTACAAAGCATGTAGAGGTCTGTAATTTTTATCATAGGTACACTTCAACTGTGAGAGACGGAATCTAAAACAAAAATCCAGAAAATCACATTGTATGATTTTTAAGTAATTCATTTGCATTTTATTGCATGACATAAGTATTTGATACATCAGAAAAGCAGAACTTAATATTTGGTACAGAAACCTTTGTTTGCAATTACAGAGATCATACGTTTCCTGTAGGTCTTGACCAGGTTTGCACACACTGCAGCAGGGATTTTGGCCCACTCCTCCATACAGACCTTCTCCAGATCCTTTAGGTTTCGGGGCTGTCGCTGGGCAATACGAACTTTCAGCTCCCTCCAAAGATGTTCTATTGGGTACAGGTCTGGAGACTGGCTAGGCCACTCCAGGACCTTGAGATGCTTCTTATGGAGCCACTCCTTAGTTGCCCTGGCTGTGTGTTTCGGGTCGTTGTCATGCTGGAAGACCCAGCCACGACCCATCTTCAATGCTCTTACTGAGGGAAGGAGGTTGTTGGCCAAGATCTCGCAATACATGGCCCCATCCATCCTCCCCTCAACATGGTGTAGTCGTCCTGTCCCCTTTTCAGAAAAGCATCCCCAAAGAATGATGTTTCCACCTTCATGCTTCACGGTTGGGATGGTGTTCTTGGTGTTGTACTCATCCTTCTTCTTTCTCCTAACACGGCGAGTGGAGTTTAGACCAAAAAGCTATATTTTTGTCTCATCAGACCACATGACCTTCTCCCATTCCTCCTCTGGATCATCCAGATGGTCATTGGTAAACTTCAGACGGGCCTTGACATGCGCTGGCTTGAGCAGGGGGACCTTGCGTGCGCTGCAGGATTTTAATCCATGACGGCGTAGTGTGTTACTAATGGTTTTCTTTGAGACTGTGGTCCCAGCTTAAATTCCATCTCTCACAGTTGAAGTGTACCTATTATAAAAATTACAGACCTCTACATGCTTTGTAAATAGGAAAATCTGCAAAATCGGCAGTGTATCAAATACTTCTTCTCTCCACTGTATATATAATAATTGATCAAGCATACAAGCAATACAATACTATTATTTTGTTTGGATAATATAATACGGTTTTAAATACCTCAATAGACCGTAAAGGAAATCGCACTACAAACTATCACCCTTATACACTTAAGGACATCACGAATATCATGGATATATTGGAACTAGTGGATATACTGTATGGAGAAGTAAACATCCTGACCTAGTGAGATATACAGTGAGGGAAAAAAGTATTTGATCCCCTGCTGATTTTGTACGTTTGCCCACTGACAAAGACATGATCAGTCTATAATTTTAATGGTAGGTTTATTTGAACAGTGAGAGACAGAATAACAACAAAAAAATCCAGAAAAACGCATGTCAAAAATGTTATAAATTGATTTGCATTTTAATGAGGGAAATAAGTATTTGACCCGTCTGCAAAACATGACTTAGTACTTCGTGGAAAAACCCAGGTCAGACGTTTCTTGTAGTTGGCCAACAGGTTTGCACACATTTCAGGAGGGATTTTGTCCCACTCCTCTTTGCAGATCTTCTCCAAGTCATTAAGGTTTTGAGGCTGACATTTGGCAACCCGAACGTTTAGCTCCCTCCACAGATTTTCTATGGGATTAAGGTCTGGAGACTGGCTAGGCCACTCCAGGACCTTAATGTGCTTCTTCTTGAGCCACTCCTTTGTTGCCTTGGCCGTGTGTTTTGGGTC